TATATCTGCTTTCAGTGGACATATTCCTCTTTATATTTTAGAAAAATGTTTATAAACAAGTATTTCTTTAAATAATCCACTTCAAAACATTAAAAATGTCCACTTTCAAATACTTAAAGATTGACTGTTTGTGAAATACCTTATAATTAAAGACTCCCAATAATTCCATCAAAGCAATAAGAAGTTACAGTAAGATTAACCTTATTGCTTTTAAAATAAAAAGGAAGTCTTCCAATTAAACAGCAGACATGCATTTATCTCTAATTCTTATGGAAAGCCCACTGAAATTAAAAGTATCAAAAGTTAAAAACAAGGGCGCCTGGGTGGCTCAGGTTAAGCGTCTGCCTTCGGCTCAGGTCATGATCCCAGGGTCCTGGGATTCGAGTCCGCATCGGGCTCGTTGCTCAGCCGGGAGTCTGCTTCTCCCTCTCCCTCTGCCTCTCCCCCTGCTTGTTCTCTCTCAGTCTCTCTCGCAAATGAATAAATAAAATCTTTAAAAAAAAAAAAAAGTTAAAAACAAACAAGGAAAAAATCAGATGGGAAAATAACTACAGATACAATATGCCAACAAGTTTGGGGAGATAAATGAACACTGGATAGAGCAGTGAAAACCAATTGGAGAGAAGGAAAGCTAATGTTTACATGAGAAACTGGGTCCATGCTCAGGAACTGGAGGCAAGGGGGGAGGTGGACGTGAGGGGTGGGATAAAAATACAGATTGGCTGACAGTCTGTGTAAGAAGCACGTAGACTTTTAATTTCCCTTTCTGGCTTATGGAGTCAGGTGACAGACATTACCATGGACACTAGTTTAGTCTCTGAAGACATTAAACCAGAAAAGTCTTGAACTCAGGAACGCTGATTAATACATAGAGACTGTATTGAGTAAGCCTACATACTGAACACTGACTTGTGGCCATATCACCCCAACCTCTGCCTCTGTGGCTACTTTGCCTTTCCACTTCTGTCGAATCTCCCCTGTGCGTCTCTTGTGAGGATACTGAACACTGGATTTAGAACCCACCCAGATAATCCGGGATAATCTCTTCACCTCAAAATCCTTAAGTTAATTATATCTGCAAAGACCCCTTCTCTAACTAAGGTACATTTTATAGGTTCTAGGAATTAGAACACAAACTCAGGATTTTAGGGGCCACTGTTCCATCTACTACATGTAATTCAGCCAACACATCAACTAAAAATGAAGATATCCTATACCCTTTTCCAGAGAGCAACTGGTAAATGTGACCTTATCAAAATGAGAGTGAAAGCCAAGAGATAATAAGACAGTCCAAGAAACAGAGGCTACTGCAAAGGGAAGAAGCAAAGGGAATTCCCAGGACAGTGATAAAGCAAAGTCTAAGTGCATACCAGGGTAAAGAACCACCAGTCTAGATTGTAGCACGATGACCGCGGAGAAAACAGTACTGAGAAGGGTTTAAAAAAGAGGCAACTGTTACCTCTAGGAAAACAAAAACTGTAAGGAAGCTAAGCTGAAGAATAAAGAAGTATTATCTTACATTACTTTGTTCAGGAGTAAATGATGTTTACACTGAATACTGATTTAGCTAAAAGCATTAATGTGCTTACATTGGAAGGACACAGTATGGGAGGTATGGCAGCAAAGGAAAGAATGACAATTCTTTGTCTTCCATAAAAGGTATCTAATATTGATTAAAAAAATAGTCTAAATATTATTTAAGATACAGAGGTAAATACCACAACAAAGATCTAAGAACTGAAAATGGTTACCTTGGAAGGGAGCATAGCAAGGGGCAGAGAGGGATGGGGAAGAGTACTGGCAATTTTTTTTAGTCACAAGTTCCCTTTTGAAACCATGCTCCTATTGCTTTGAAAATAAAATGCATTTAATGCCAAAAAAAAGAAAAGAAAAGGTTCTCAGAAAAGTATCTTGTTCAGGATTATGACATAGTTAAGAAATATCTGTCACAATGCCTTAAAACTTATATCTTGCAGGAGTATAGAAATTTTTGAAAACGGGCTCTTAAAAATAAATTTCCAAGTTCTGAGTGTTCCTAAGGAATAAAAAAACAAAAACAAAAACCAGACACAACCAAAAGCACCCCTAATGTATGTTCATATAATGGATCCAACCTCTAATTTATATTACTACAATTTTATCCAGCTTTCTTAATATAAAACTAACGGCTCTTTTTTGTTTTTGAACATAAGACATTAATGTCACAACTACAAATAACAGGTGTAACGGGGTAAAGGAGCTGAAGACATAATGAAGGTATCTCCAGATTGGAATCCTGATAGACAGCTGCCAGTGGATCCAGTTCGTATGTGGATGGACTCTAATTGTAAAGATTTCATAATATTAGGAATACAGGATAAAAAGGCTGTGTTCTGACCCTTTATGCCCAGGAAAGGGACAAGAATTTCCCTAAAGCTCTTCTCTCTGATTGTCTGAGAGGGAAGGAGCATGGAAAAGGTGTGCAATGGTGCTAGGAAAAGGTAAAATATGAGAAAAAGAGAAAATTTTATTTTTGTAGTTAATTACTATCCTTCTCTATCCATTTCATTAATCTTTTTTTTTTAAAGATTTTATTTATTTATTTGAGAGAGAGAGAATGAGAGAGAGCACATGAGAGGGGGGAGGGTCAGAGGGAGAAGCGACTCCCTGCCGAGCAGGGAGCCCGATGCGGGACTCGATCCAGGGACTCCAGGATCATGACCTGAGCCGAAGGCAGTCGCTTAACCAACTGAGCCACCCAGGCGCCCCATTTCATTAATCTATGTCTCATTTCTGAATCACGTTTTGGCATACTACTCCCAACTTTCCCTTCCCTCCTTCTCTTCAACTGCTTTAAAAGTCCACCTAGTCCCAGTAATTTACACCGGTTTACTGATCTATGTCCTAAACGAATATGACAGTCACATCACAATCCCCCCACAAATAGGGCAGCCACTTAATCTATCTCTTATTGTACCTAATGTAACTGATGATAACGTGCAGTCTAGACATACTAATTTAGAATTTTTTAATCTTACTTATTTAATTGAAGTCATCTCTCTATCTGAATTGCAAGACTCTTTTAAAAGATACAAGGATAGCACCAGGTACAACTAGGCAGATATTTCTGACATTAATAACTGACCCAATTACAAATATTATAGTACTTTTATATTATTCAGATGCGAAATCAAGTCCAATAAAAAAAGAGTCTGGTGGGGGCGCCTGGGTGGCTCAGTTGGTTAAGCGACTGCCTTCGGCTCAGGTCATGATCCTGGAGTCCCTGGATCGAGTCCCGCATCGGGCTCCCTGCTCGGCAGGGAGCCTGCTTCTGCCTCTGACCCTCCCCCCTCTCATGTACTCTCTCTCTCTCATTCTCTCTGTCTCAAATAAATAAATACAATCTTTAAAAAAAAAAAAAAAAATCTGGTGGTTTTTCTATAAATATGAAATCTAAGTGAAAGCAACGTTTTTAAAAGAAATGTAGCAAGATGTTGTTAAGTATGGGGTAAGAAGTTCTAGAAACAAATTACTTTTAGAGCAAAGCCACTTCGGTTTGACAGTGAAGTAGAAAAAAAGAAAGTCAAGGGCAAAAGTGCAAATGGTAAGAAAAAAAGGCAACAATGGTACTGGAAAGAACCCTTCATATATTTTCATAACTCATGAAAAAAATAATACCAAAGCAAAAACAAATGCTTCTATTAAAGTCATTCTGAAATGAACAGAAAAAAGAAAAAAATAAGTCTTGCTTTTTCCATCTTCCTACTAACTCTCTCATTTAATGCTGCTAGATCTTTCTCCAATTTTTAGAGTAAAATGTCCCTCATGAGAACACAGCAGGTTAGATTTTTTAACTAAAAAGTAATGACCCCCAAACATAGTATTCATATGTTTATAATTAATTCTAACACTTTAAAATAGCTGCACCAGTGAGCAGCAGTATTATGTAGATAATTAAAAAATAATTTGAGGGGGCACCTGGGTGGCTCAGTCAGTTAAGCATCTGCCTTTGGCTCAGGTCATGATCCCAGGGTCCTGGGATCGAGCCCCGCATTGGGCTCCCTTCGGGTGGGGAGCCCGCTTTTCCCTCTCTTCCCTGCTCGTGCTCTCTCTGTCGCCATCTCTCTCTCTCAAATAAATAAATAAAATCTTTGAATAAATAAATAAATAACAATTTGGGTCCTTTAATATGCAAGAGATAGACAAAGTTAAGTAGCTTAGAAACCTTTTGTCAAATTTAGGTAAAATGGCAACTCAATCAAAGAACTCAAAAAATACTTCAGCTCTAGGTTAGCATGAAATTCCTAAATGCTCTTCTTGCCAGAGTTTCAACTGGCAAACCAAAAGACAAACAAAAAACTTACAACAGAGACTCCTGATTGAAGTACTTTTTGTTGGCAATAAAAATTAAGCCATCAAACACACCAGTACTGTACTTTAATTAAAAAACAAAACCAAACAGCCCTTTTGAGAATAAAGCACATTTCAAAACCTTTTACCTGGTACCTTTAGAAAGGCAACAACTGGAGTCCACAGGTCAAAAGGACTGCAGAAGCAAAGTGATCATGCCAAAGATCATGAAGAGTATTTATACTCTTCATCTTCCAACTAGTCAAACATCACCAAGCAAGCTCATGCAAGAATGACCTTCCATTATGTTCCCCAAAGCTCTGATGCTTCACATTTTAGAAGTTATATGCCATCACAATTACCTCTGTGGGTCAAAGTCGCAAACTGAAGCTGTCTCCCTCACTTAGGTTTCTAGTCTCCAAAACGCACAAAAGGCAGGATTTCAGATGGGAGAGACCTAGTGTCTCCAAAAGATTTACCCGAATCCATTGGTTCCTGAGTTCTAACAGCAGGGGTATGTATGTCACCTATAACTGGCAACTTCCATACTGAATAAATCATCATGAAACTTAAGAATACAAATTTTTAAATTTATAGTGTGCTTTTTCACCCCAAAACTTTATTTTAAGAACTAAAAGTCTGATGCACTGAATCCTATATAAAAGTCTCACCTGTTTGGCTTTCAAGTTCTTTCCAGTCGAACTTTTCTCACTTGTACTTGCATCCATCCCTCTCAGAACACTGATGAAATCTTTCTTGGAAACAGTCGATATCAACTTAGCACGTTTTCTGATAGAGCTTCCAGCTTCTTTAACCTTTTCATCAACGTTCTTTTGGTGCTTCTGAACAGCATTAAATAACTGTACCACACCTCTATAGAATATAAAATGACCAGAATAACACAGTTAAGTAACAGTTACACTAGGATACAAACTGTGAGGATAAGAACAATGTAGTTTTACTGCTTAGGAAAGAGGCAAGCATTTAATAGGCACTCAAATGAAAAGAGTTGAATCGAAAAAATGAATATACATTTCAATGAATGAATACAAATTTCTGACTAGAAAATAAATATATGTGGACTGATAATGTGATTTTTCTTTTGTTTTCATCTTTCTAAATCAACCTTTGTGCAATTAGAACTAAAAAGTATCTTTTTTTTTTTTTTTAAGATTTTATTTATTTGACAGAGAGAAACACAGCAAGAGAGGGAACACAAGCATGGGGAGTGGGAGAGGGAGCAGCAGGCTTCCCGCAGTAATTGAAGACATCACAATGCAATGGAAAGAGAACAGCCTCTACAGTTAGCTATCTAACCATTTGACCCTAGGAAAGGTTTTCTAGATTTCAGTTTCATCTATAAATGGAAATAATACTCAAGTAGCTTAAAAAGTATTGTTATATTATCTGCAACTCCTATGATATAAAACTAATTTTTTTAAAAATTATTTCTTTATTTGATAGAGAGAGCGTGCGCAAGCACAAGCCAGGGGAGCAGCAGACAGAGGGCGAAGCAGGCTCCCCACCGAGGGGGCAGCCCGATATGGGGCTCTCAATCCCAGGACCCTGGGGTCATGACCCAAGCCAAAGGCAGACACCTAACTGACTGAGCCACCCAGGCGCCCCAATATAAAATGAATTTTAAAATCCTATTTTAAAATGAAATACTTATTTAGATATTTTGGTCTATAGTGAAGTTCATTCCAAGAAGAATTCTGAAGATTATGACCTGCAGTGTACATCACAGTAGCCATGAGCCACATGTAGCTAGTGAGCCATGAAATGTGGCTGGCTAGTCCAAATTGCAAAATGCTCCAAGTTTAAAATACAGACTGAATATATTGAAGATTTAATATGAAAAAAGAGAATTTTAAAATCTCATTGGTAATTGTTTTATACTGATTATATGATAAAATAAAAAATAATTTGAATATTTTAGGCTCAATAAAACACATTAGTACAATTAATTTTATCTTTTTTTTTTTTTTTACTGTATTCAATGTGGCTACAAAAAAGTTTTACATTATATATGTAGCTCCCATTATATTTCTACTGGACAGTACTGATATAAACCATTACCATCCTTCCCAGCTCTAAAATTCTATCACTGGGAGAGGCACTCTGCAATGGACCCTGAGTATCCCTGCACATTCTTGCTAGGTTTTTCAAGGATGCAAGGCCCTGACTGTTCTTTACACAGGTCATTTCTGAGAGATGAGTTTGTAGGATGCAACCTTGAGAGATAAGGTAACGTCTCCCCCCAGGCAAAGAGCAGGCTTACTACCATTCACCAAAAAAGCAATAGATTCCCAAGTAGAGTGTTCTTCTGTAACACAACCCACTGCATGCTCAAGCATCCATACGGGGCACCTGTGTTACCACTGAGGGATAAAGGGAACCAGTGGAAATGTGACGCTATGGCTACTGCTTTGCCAAGAGTAATAAAGTCCTTTGTCTCTGACCCAAAAGTCTCTTGTCTTCTGGCAGTATCCAGGAAATTAACAGACTAGCTTATTAGCTTATACGGAGGGTAAAATTCCATACCCTTCAGAGCAGGGCTGGGACCAAAGTGACGAAAGGGAGGTGCCTCAGGTATAAAATTTAAGGAGGCACTTACTCTCATGCACCAACCATGTACTTTTCTAAATTCTTTATATGTTTTTAATTTATTTAATTCTCAGAGAAATCCTGCAGGGTAGATATAATATTCTGCTGTTTTTATATGTAAATAAACTGAAACGGAAAAATTAGGTAGCATGCCCAAGGACACACACGTAATAAGTCAGTGCTGGGATTTGAACCTAGCAGTATGGCTCTATGTATCTCACTACAGAACACCCATATGGATTAAAAAATGACCCAAATAATGTATGTAACTAGAAAATAAAAAATAATTCCACTAAGCAGAACTGCTATATTCTTGAAGTAGCAGCTCAAATGTTCTCTCCTCTGTGAAATCTTCCCCAACTCCCCTGACAATCTCCTGCTTTAAGTTTCCAACACACAGGACGTACCTCTAATCTCAAAGAGACTGTAATTCCTACCGGTGAGTAGGCAAGGACCACCTGGCAGCCACCAGATTCTATTTATCTTTGGACACAGAGGGCATCAAATAAACACTTGGTGCCAATGATAAAAAAAAAAAAAAAAAAAATGCAGGGCGCCTGGGTGGCTCAGTTGGTTAAGCGACTGCCTTCGGCTCAGGTCATGATCCTGGAGTCCCGGGATCAAGTCCCGCATTGGGCTCCCTGCTCGGCAGGGAGTCTGCTTCTCCCTCTCCCACTCCCCGTTTGTGTTCCCTCTCTCGCTGTGTCTTTCTCTGTCAAATAAATAAATAAAATCTTAAAAAAAAAAAAAATGCAGAGTGAAAGGACAGCATAAAGCTACTGTAATGCAAAACTGGTTATGTCCTAAGTACAATGTAAGATAACAAAAATAATCTATTGCCATAAACTCAGACAACCATGATAAGAGAAATGCATGTCTAATTACACTGTTTTCCTGACTACAGAAACAATATGGTTTGCAATAGGTTCAAACCAAATATACACTGAGGACGTTATATTCTTGCCTCCTGAGATCTGTAAAATCTTTGATTGAATTCAGGATTAAATAGGCAGGTTTTGATATAAATCACTTGGCTCTGGGAAGGCAGAGTTTAAGAATCAGGTCAAGTCAGAAATGGATCACTATCAAAGCTTTAATATACTTATTTTTTAAAGGGCAAAAACAATCTTACCTTGTTGCAATTCTCTGAAGATTTCTCTCTGTTTCTTTGTCTTTGACAACATCTGGCTTTACTCTGCACATCATTTCCCATTCCCGCTTCTTATCAAGCTGTGTTATAAATATTGTTATGTGAAAGAATATTAGGCATTTTTGAAAGTGCAGCATACTTTGATATGATACTCTGTGAAAGGACAAAGGTAATAAATCATTCTGGCTTAGTTTGTCACAGGGACTGAAAAAACCCCACACTTTTAGGGGTTCAGCTCAGGAGGCCTGTGGTTAGCACTCAGCATGTCATGTGAGAAGCACAAAGTGAGTTTCCGTCAGGCTCTCTGACAGCAGGGGCCTGGAGGGCTGCCAGGATACTGAGGCAGGCAGGACAAGGTAAGGTGTGAGAGAGCCACATGCTGGCCTGCCACCACCAGATCAGAGGTAAGCATCAGGAAGATCCCAAACTACTGTCTTTAATAACCACAAGTTTAAACTGTTTATTTTTCAGAAACTGTCTTTCTCAGCAGTCAGAATATTAAAAATTTGTATCCGCTTTTAAAATCATAGCATTGTATCCAGTAGTACTCTGGTCCTAGGCACCTGACTTGACACACCAATACACCGCATCAGTATATACTGCTGTCTCAGGCCAAAATATCACCTAAGATCAAATATACTGAATATGATGAACTGATCGCCAGGAAGCTAGTGAGCATCAAAGGCAGTAATAAGAATCAGTGGGGAAAAAAAAAAAATCACCTTTTATCTATTCCTTTTCTGCATCCATCTAATCTCTTATTTTTGTATTAATGAAAATGTTTAATCACAGTAAAATCAAATTCCTGCTCACTATAAAGATTAGCCTGATTCCTTTCTAAAAAGAATAGACTCCTCCCCAAATCAGATAATTTACTTTGTAAATTAGTGATAGTGATGAAATTCACTATCAGATTATGCCAGAAATTTAGAAATCTTACTTTTAAGTTTAAAACAGTTGATTCTTCATTATCTGTAGTACCCAAGGCATGCACAATCCCAAAATAATTTTTAACTTTGAAGTATATTTTTATACTTATGATCAGAAATAAGTACTTGATATTCTGGAAACTGATAATATTTAACAGTAAAAAAACAATGATAATTTACACAGACTCTACTCAGGAATATATAATAGCATTTGTAGTGACTGTGTCCTGTTTCTGGTATCAATATGTGTGTTTTCATGCATTATGTGAACAGTATCATCCCCAGCACTCAAAGGACTGCCCTAGAGTTACAGACTCATTTTTCTTGGCTTCAAAGTGTTCTTACTTTGACTAGAACACTGGGACTAGAGGTAATTAAGGATTCTGATATTTTTAAAGCTTCTGTCAGCTTTTGCCAGATGATGAAGATTCAAATTTTCAGTTGAAAGTTATCAGTAAGATTTATCTTAAAGTAAAATGAGAATAACTGAGTAGTACAGCATGTTCTGTTTCTAAAAGCAACACTTAAAAAGTTCCATCTTCATACAGCCTTTTGCACAGAGTACTAGTATTTGGAACAAAGAAAATAATTCACCTTGAAACAAGATAAGGGGATGATGAAATTAAAAGGAAATATATGCCTCATATATAAAAAGGAAATATATTCCTTAAAAGGAAATATATGTCAATCTAAATCTATTTTCCTTTCATTTTACCTAGAAAGTACCTCTTGGAAATCAGTACTTTTATATTGTCAGTATGATCATAGAAAGTTATTTTTCTTTCATTAAAAAATGATATTTATTTCACTAACCAAGTATTTTATTTTATTTTTATTTATTTATTTTTTTTAGACATAGAAATGCTTCATCAAGTATAAGGGATTTAAAAACCTTATTATTGTTTCTTTATTCTTATGAAACACAACAGCAAACTGAAGTCCAACTTCTGGCCTTGAAGCAGCAGACTGTCCTAGTCTAACTTCTATCCGTGATTTAAAAGGTATAATGAATTCGACTTTATCCAGCAGTGAAACAGTCCATTTTCAGAACTGCAACCAATCCCTGACATCTTCACAGATTTGTATTACAAAATAGGTTGTTAGTAAAAAGTAACTAACATGATTCTATTGGTTCAGAATCTAATAATGTTAGCATATGGACAGCTAAATTGAATATTTAGATCCAGGAGTCACGGCCACATGTATAATTTACTTGATTTTAAAAGGCTAAATTTTTCAGTAGTTTAATTTCTATTTCTTTGCTTAGATGATTAAAAAGTGAACATGCTCAATGAAGTAATTTAGACTAGGCCTCTGTACAAAAGCTTGGTTATTCACCCCTACGTAAAAAAGCAAGTTAAAAACTGGAATTGGACAAACATTGCCAGGAACAATTTGGTACAGATAGGAACTTGACTAGACTAGGCAAACAATCTAATCTACAAAACAACTGGTAAGACACACCTGTTTTCTCTTCTCTAGTCTCTCTTGCTTTAACTTTTCTTTTTCCTTTTCCAGCTCTCTGTTTTTGACCAGAATAGTGGGTTTACTTTTAGGAGTTTTTTTGTTAAGAATTTTAGCCATGGCATCCGCCCAGCCCACGTTAGTTCCAACACTAGCTTCAGCTGCATGTTCATTTCCATTGCCACACGGTTCAACTTCATCTTCATTGTCAGCTTCCACTGCTTCATCATCTGAAGAAAAGGCATCCTTTTCTGATCCACAGCTTCTTACAGAACCTAAGAGTAGAAACAAATTAAACTTTAACACTGGAGGAAGAGGCTGTCAAGGCCATGCCAGACCCCCAGGACCTGTCAAAAAGCTAACAGTTCTCCATCTGTCTTCATTTTCACAAGAGGGGAACTTTGTGAATTCCACAGCTACAGTAATAGCAGAGAGCAAGACGGCCCTCCATCCTACTGCCATCAGCCCCCAGAGACCTGGCCCAGCCATGCTGGGCTTCAGCACCCAGGACCCAAGCAGCAGAAACAAATCCAACAGCCCACACAACCTCCTATTGTCAAGGGGGCAGCAGATGCCAACATGGGAGCAGTGTAGGGTGTGTTCAAGTCCATGGGCCTTACTTGTGCCATTAAACTACTTAATAAGAGACTAATGAAAATTATTTTTAAAACGATTAACAAAAAACTTTAATCCATCATGAAAACGTTTCCATGGTACAGAGAAGTCAGAATAACCTCTCTAGGGATTTGACCCAGATATTTAAAACTCTGAATTTGTGTACAGAAAAGTCTAAAAAACAAAACAAACAAAAAACCCAGCCTCCTTTTATAGAATTTGTATATAACATTATAAAATTAGGTATTGACCATTCTTGAAAAATAATCAAGTAATATCTGCCCAAGATACTAAAGATTCAACTGCACAGCTGGGTGACCAAATGACACTATCAAGTTCTGAGTTGCAGATACAAAAGTGTACTGTTGGAATTGCATCCTGCACAACCTCCGAAAAAAGCATATACAGGTTATTTGCCAGCTAGTTCATCTTATAAGGTTCAAATAGCTGGGGTCAGCGGTTTGGCAGAAATAAGAGTCTAGTCAGTGGCCTTGCTTGAAAATCAACTCGTTGAGAAGCTTTTGTAGTTTAAGTTTTGTGGCCTTTCTCAACTTCTGAAGTTCACTGTACTTTACCAACAAGACCACAAGCAGCCAGCACAGTTCGCATACATCTATATGGTCCAGAGCCTTTTGGACAGCTTCTGTTTTGTTCCTCAGAAGCTGATGGAACTTATTAGGAACTACTTCAAAGGAGAAAATCGCCCAAGAGCTTAGTAACTTGGAATGTTTCTTAGTGAGCAACAGAGGAGCTAACAAAGCACTGCCCTTCAGGGAGCCTATGTTGGGTCCAGCTGCGCATACCAAAGCTAAGCATTATAACCACAACCTCTGCTTCTACTTCTAAGAAGTCTGACGGTTTTTTGTTGTTACTTCAGAATAATGTACCTGCTCGTCAGCTCTAAGGCCCCCTTTCTTCTTTAAATAATTTCAATGAAATGTACATATTCTGCTTTCAAATAACATTTCAGCCTTTTTTTCCCCTTAATTCAGCTTACTGCCATGACCAAAATGAAAGGAGCTGAATGTACAGTCGGCTGTTAATGTCTGAGTGATCCTCTCTAGTCTCTCAACTGTAAATCATGAAGTAAGAGAGAACTGCCAGAAAGATCTGACTTAGCTAATCATTATAATACCTGCAATTTTGCTATTACTTTTGCACGATACCTTTAAGTGTTGGAAATTCATGAAATGAAAAATATGTAAAACTTAATATTTAATACATTTAAGATAAAAATTTATAACCTTAGAAAACAGCAAATAAAGACATATTTTATAGATATAGAAAAAATGAACCTCAAGCAAATAAGTAAAAATAAAGTATCTTCAAAGTGTGATAAAAGTGTGTCAGTGTTATCAAAAAGTAAAGGAAATTGCTAATAATTCCACTGCTCTAATGTGCTGCACATTTCTCAGTAAAGAGAAAAAAGTTTTAAACAGAAACTCATTTGCCACATATTTAATTTGAAGCCTTCTCTATATCCTGCATGCTGGGTAAATTTAAGAAATCTGAGGACACATGATTCTAGGCTTTGACATGCAAATACAGGTGATTTAAGAACTTTATTATTTATAAAGTATTTTTTAAAAGTATCTAGATTTTGGGGTGCCTGGGTGGGGCTCAGTCCTTAAGTGTCTGCCTTCGGCTCAGGTCATAATCCCAGGGTCCTGGGATCGAGCCCCACATCAGGCTCCCTGCTCCATGGGAAGCCTGCTTCTCCCTCTCCCACTCCCCCTGTTTGTGTTCCCTCTCTCTCTGTCTCTGTCAAATAAATAAATAAAATCTTAAAAAAAAAAATCCAGATTTTGCCAAACAAAAGCTGTTAGCACTATCATTCAATTCAATGAATCTGAGTGTCTACTATATACCAGATTTCAGAGTCACACAATTTTTCCCTCAGAAGCACCTCCTCAGACCAAGGTTTCTGGAAAATACACTGAGAAGCAAAGTTTGGAGAATGTAATTATCTGAAAAATAAAGATGTTAATATTATACATCTTATTTCTCAGAGTCAGCAGCATTGCACACGTATTAATAACAAAATAAACAATTATTTGACAAGTGCTTCTTGTAGTAAGAATTTTTCTAAATGTAAAGAGGCATAACAGCTTAAATGTTTGTGTGAATGAAGAATACCTGGCTGATCAAAAACAGGTTTCACCAGTCCCTGGTAAAATGTCAGAACTACAATACTGACATCTAGTGTTCTGTCCTGATGCATTCGCACACAAACGGCAACAATTTCACTTTCTCAGTTGCACTGTAGAGGCAGCCACGAGACTTTACAACTGTATGAGCTACCCCAATTCTCCACTTCCAGACTTTGGGTCTTTTTCTTGGAAGAAAGCTATGCTCACCACTATACCACCAACGCTGGGTCTTTTTCTTGGTATGTTTCTTACCCAGACTGACTACCACAATATGCATATTATAGGCACATAATAAATCCGTGAAAAGTCTTAGAATACCTTTTTATACAACCTGCATAAACCAATTCAACAAATTCGAAAAGAATCCACTAAATTCATAATTTTTATTTGACTTTTTAAAAGACGTTCTAGCTCAGAGGAGTCTGACATTCACTGCAAATGGAAATGATCACATTTTATATAAATAAAAAATGCCAATGTTATGAGGTCCTCCAGCGTACTAAAAACCAGGATTTACTTCTAGGATACCAAAGATAAAACCAATCAGAAAGCAGAACTGGTTCTTAAAATTTTACTGTATCCTATGAAGATGAGATTTTTTTTAAATTTTCTACTAACTGATCTTTAACAACAGAAGTTAAGTGCATATATCCAGGGCACCAGATAAGTAAAAGATTCCTTTGAAGCCTTCTGTGTTATCTTAAACATTAACTCGAAGTTTGCATTCTATTTTTGGAATCTGGAAATTAAGGAAGGGCTACAAAGAACACTTACTGGAAGCAATAACTAATGGTTCCAATATAACTTTCCGCATTCATGGAAATGTTCTATTATCAAAGCTGCCCACTAGCCATTGGGTATCAGAGCCTACTGAATACTTCAAATGCAGCCAGTACAACCAAGGAACTGAATTTTTCACTTTAATTACTTTAAATTTAAAAAGCTCCATGTGGGGGCACGTGGATGGCTCAGTCGGTTAAGAGTCTGACTTTTAATCTCAGGGTCTTGAGTTTAAGCCCCGCATTGGACTCCACGCTGGTTGTGGAGCCTACTTAAAAAAAAAAAAAAAGCCACATGTGGCTACTGCTACCAGCTACCATACTGGCAGGGCAGGGTTAGACTTCTAAGATTCTGTGGTAAACGTAGGCATTTCCCATCTCCCGCTGCCTTTTCCCCAAACTTCCAGCTCCCTTTCAAATTTATTATTTGTCCCAGATATAGTTAGCTGTTGGCTAGAAAGTGGGATAAAGTTTTAAGAAGACTCACAGTCCTTCAATATTTACTGAGCACTCATGAATGATGGGGAAGGGGAAAACAAAAAATCTAAGTCTAGGTTTCTCTCCTTGAAGATGGTCTTATGTTTAGTAGGGTAGATAAATCAGTTAACCAACCACAAAATTTGGTTTTACAATATGCAAAATTTGTCAGTGCTCTTCTAAAAAAAAAAAAAAGGCAACGAAGAAAGGGTGACTGTTTGGGGGTATCTTTTACAAAGATGATATTAAAGTTGTTTCTTAGGTAAAGCAGGGATTTGAATGACAAGAGAAGGGAGGAGGCCAAAGAAGTAAGATTCCACAACCCAAGTGAATTGAAAGACACAGGTGGGGATGATCACTAAATCTACAACCAAAAACTCTCTAGATCTGACTGAGTCAATGCCCTGTATAAAAATTAAAATTATGATAATCATCATTATGATGGGCATTCCAGGCAGAATAAACCAGTACGTCCAAAGGCATGGGAATATGAAAGAAGGTGAGATGTTTATGAAATGACAAGAAGTTCAGACTGGCTGAAACCGGATCTGGAAACTGGATAGTAAGAACTGAGTTTAAAAAGCTGGCTGGTTTATAAAAATGCTGGTCTGATTTACGATCCAAGAAATAAAATATGCACATTAACCCCCAAATTAAAACCAAGCGGTTTAAAATTACAGCACTATAGGTGTGTTTTTCCAGTAAGAGGCCAAACTGCTAGTGCTTTTCTCTTACCTTAGGCCCTTACTTTTAAAAAGTTTCTCTACTGGATTAAGAAGGTTGTTCTTTTAAAATACAAATACCATCTGGGAGCATTAAGGTTATTGGTTAACATTTAACTTATTTCACACCTTTAGAATAACTCATAACTCAAACAGAATTCCTCATAAAAACTTGGTAGAGATCAGCTAGTAGTAAAGAGTATGAACACAGAAGTCAGGCTGCCTGAATCCAATCTCACCTCCAGATACAAAATCCCCATCTGTAAAAATGGCAATAAAACAGTATTAACTTCACTCTGGTTTTGTGACAATTAAATGAGTTAATATATATTAAAGTTCTTAAAAGAGTGCCTAGCCCATAGTAAACATTTAAGTGCTGATTACATACCACACACAGAGACACACACAATAAGAATTTTAATGTCATTGTGGAGGCGAAATGAATAAGGAATACCTCTGGTAGTTGGAATCTGCAAGAAGTGTGAGGTGCTGTATGGGAAGCTTTGGTTGACCAGCTAGTTAGAGCAGAAGG